GTGAGGAAGAAAAAGAGAGTGTCAAGTAGTGGCTGCTCTGTGTGCGGTCAGAAGGTTTTTTTGGTTAGGAACTGCGAATCCAAAAGACAGTGGACAATCCAGTGCTCGAGGCAGTGTGTCGAACGAAGCAAGTGGGCCAGGAGCAAAGAAGCAAAGGTGCTTCAAATGTGGGGAACCTTGACATTTTGCAAGGGAGTGCCAGCAGAGGAGGACAGGGTTCTTCAGTTGTTGTGCTACAACTTCAATGAAGGGATACGACCTCATTGTGGATACGGGATGCACTGATCATGTGGTGCGCGACAGGGCTGTCTTTTCTAGCTTCGAGAGCTGGAACGGAGGGAAAACTATGAAGAAACCGAACTGCACGCTGCCAGGGGCGAATGATCAGTGGAAGTGAAGACCAGAGACTGCCGTGATGCTGTGAGAAGCTACACTTTTCACATAGTACTGTTTTTGCCGAGCTACAATGTGAACTTGATGAATGTGAGCTCAGCTGCGGCTAAAGGCTCAAGCTTCAGCTTCGCCGCAGATGCTTTACATCTACTGACACCAGATGGGATACAGCTACCTGTGAAGCAGCGCCGCAAGCTTTTCTTCCTTGAGTGCAAGTTCAAGAGGAACTCGATGAATCTAGTGACGAAAACAAGGTGGGATACCAGTGATGCAATGTTGTGGCACCAACGACTGGGGCTCCTCAACCAGCTAGATCTTTCATCGCTTGTCAATGTGGGCGAGCTAAAATTCTGCGAAGTTTGTACAACTTCCAAGATGCGTGAAGTAGCAGTGCCTAAGAACACTGACAGCAGAGCATCGGCCGTGGGGCAACTGTGCTTCAGTGACATTCAGGGATCATTGGAATTACGGAGAATGCATGGTAAACGCTATACCTTGAGCTTCATGGACGACATCAATCGGCTGGATATGAAAAAGAGTGGGGTTCTACTGAAGTTTCAGGAGTTTGCGGCTGAGTACTGACAATGGAGGTGAATATTCGTCAAATGCACTCAAGAGATTTTGTAGATAATCCCAGGAGAAGCAAGAGTTCGCTGTGCCCAATACCACCCAAGAGAATGGTGTAACAGGGCGCTACAACAGAGTGATCACCGAGATGACTCGATGACTGCTGGCCGAAACAAAGCTACCGAAAATGTTCTGGGTGCGAGCTACGTCGACAGCTGTGAGGGTTCGTAACTTGTGTCCCACATTCAGCAACGAGAAGCGCCTTTTAACGATAGAGATGCACTATAGTAAACCATCAAAAGTAAGCTATTTGCGTGTGATTGGTTGCCTGGTGTACTATCTGCATCGAGGCAACAGACGGAAATTGGATCCAAAGGGGAAGGAAAGCAACTTCAACGGCTGCGACAAAGAGAGCAAAGCCTACTTGCTGATGGATCTAGAGACAAGAGGATTGGTGCGAGCAAGAAGCGTGACACTCAAGGAGAACATCATTCCACATGACTTCATGGTTGACAGTCAGCCCTTACAAGCCGTGGAGCTATCAGTCGAGGGATGTTGAGCAACCAATAACAACGAAAACCAGCGAAACAAGAAGCGAGAAGCGTGCCAACTGAGGGTGATACTGCAGACTCAGTGGGGGCTACTGAGGTTAATCAGGTCGAGGAGGAAGCAGTAGATGCACATTCTACTGATCATGCAGTGCATAGCTGCGTTAGACCAAGGAACCCACCCATTCGATACGGACTGGCCTACACCCATACTTCAGTGACTGGAATCCAAAAGCCAAGGGGACACTCAGAAGCAGTGTCTGGACCCGAAAAAGAGCAGTGGCTGGCAGCTATGGTTTTAGAGGTGAAGTCTGTAGAAGCCATGGGAACATAGACACTTTTTAATAGACCATGATCTTGAAAAGCTATTCCTCGACGATGAGTTCTTGTTGCAAAGAAAGGTGCGATGGGACAAATGGAGCGGTTCAAAGTCCGATATGTGATGAAAGGGTTCATGCTAGTGGAAGGACTTGACTTCAATGAGACGTTTGCTCCGACCTGTCAACCCGAAACAAAGAGGATACTGCTGGCTCTGGGGGCACAAGATGATCTTGTACTTCATCAGAGGGATGTTCAGTCAGACTTCCTTATATCTTCTCTAGCAGAGACAGTGTACCTGGAGCAGCCTGAGATGTTCATTAGCGGTGACAGCCAAGTTTTTTTGATACAACGAAAACTCTATAGGCTGGAGGAGGCAGAAAGAGACTGCTATAAGATGCTGAGCACTTTCCTATTTGATGAAGTGTTCATTAGAAGCAGCAACAACTTCTGTTTGTATACGATGAGTGGAACACATGATGCAATGATTTATGTGCTGGTTCGTGTAGATGGCATCATCATTGGTTGCAGATGTCAAGACAAATTGACAAGCTGAGAATCAGTTTCTCCGAACGATTCAAGATGGATGACAGAGGCGCATTGTCCTGGTTCCTTGGAATGCAGGTCAAGCAGTCTTCTGGGAGAATAACAAATAATCAATCACATGGCATCGACGACTGCTTGGAGCGTTTTGGCCTAGCTGAATGCAAACCAGCGGACATCATCGCTCAACTGTCGAAAATGGACAGCCTTGAAGCTGGGTCAGCACAGGCAGTGTCCATGAAGGTTTAGGACTACAGAGGCATTGTGAGCTCACTATAGTACATAGCTAAGCAAACAAGGCCTGATATCTTAGCTACTGTGGTGCAATTCTCTCATTTCCAGGAGAATCTGGGAAGGGTGCACAGGGTGGCTGCAAAGAGGGTTCGTCGATACCTCAAGGGGAGTAAAGATCTAGAGCTGTGCTACACTAAGGACGCTGGTGGTATCAAAACTCTATGAATCTGCAGATGCTGACTGTGCTCGAGATTTGGATGATACAAGGTCAGCTACTGGCTACAGTTTTCATTTGCAGAAGGCAGGGGCAGCAATTAGTTGGAGCACCAAGAAGCAACCAACTGCAGCCATATCTACCACTCAAGCTGAGTACCAAGCAATGGCAGCAGCGGTTAACGAGGCTCTACATCTGCCATCATTTATTGAGATGGGCGTATTTATTGACGGCCAACCGTCTTCAAAGAGGACAACTAGAGGTGCATCAAGATATGCCAGAATCCTTTGATGCAGAAGCGAACGAAACACATCGATGTGAAATACCACTTTGTTCGAGAACGAGTGGAGGATGAAACAGTTGAACTCCAATATTGCCCTACTGAGTTCATGGAAGCTGACTTGTTGACAAAAGCGCTGAGCAAGGCTAAGGTGGAACAGCATCCTCGAACCTTGATGGGTTGCAGCCTAACATTGGACAAAGCCAATTCAGTCTGAGTTGGGGGTGTTGAGGTCAGACCATCTCAAGGTTAGACAATATAAATTAAGCGATTCAGTTTCAGGGTCAAAAATTGATTGAAATAGTCAAAACTGAATAAAGGTCAACTAGTGGTCACAAACTGAATAATTAGTCAGTAACAAATTAACTGGTACTTTTGTGATGCTTAGTTCGCATGTCATTTATATTCACTTTCGCAATTCATTCTTCAACAATCACTACCGCTTCTCAATCCTCAATTCAAACCTCAGATTCTATCTCTGTCTCTAACCACAGCTCTTAACCCTAGTTGCTCTAACTCTGAATCCTAACAGTTTCCCACCTCACTTCCTCCAATTTCGCAGTTTACAAACCGCACCCATCCCCACCTCTCCTCCCAAGTTTTCAACCCCCTCGCTCCATCTTCGGAAAACTTAGCTGGAGTGGAAGGGGATAAACTAGGAGAAAGGATTTCAAACGAGAGTTGGGGCAACCTGGGGGGAGGGGGTGGTAAAAGAGTTCAAGCATTTGAGACAACCCTTAAAATTCCCTTCCCTCACGTTCAATCATTAGTGTTACCCCCCTTCCCCATCGTGAACGTGAAGTGGGGGGAGGGTGAGGGTTGGCAATTAGCAATTTAAACTCCATTAAACAAACACGTAGCAACTGCGCTCAACAAAAATTAAGATGAGTTTAAAACAAAATTTAAAATTTCATCAAAAGCTTCCCAGCCAAAATCCGTTATAATTGATAACAGTCAATTATAATGGATTATATTGACAAAAAATAATAAAATGTCTGTAATCCATTTTCCATGTGTTATAATCGATTCTTTTGTAATTTTATAGATAATGACTATAAAATAACAAAAATCAATTATGATCCATAGACTCGGTGAGGGAAATTACACTTTAATTGATTGACAAGATTCGAGTAAAAAAGAGTGGAAAAATACAGCCACTATTCCTCATGTTGGCTCTTTTTCCTTTTTCCCCCCACCTGCAAAACTTTACTAGTGAAGTTTTGTTCACTTTATCCGAATGTTACAAAAATTGGCATGCGAACTAATTAGGCCATGACAAACATTTTTGGTCTTCATAATTAACCTTGTAAAACCCCTCGTTACATCATAAAATTGACGCTTATGTGAGGTGGGGGGGGAAAAGGAAAAAGAGCCCTCATGTTTTTTCTAAAAAGTGAAAACCACAAAATAAATTTTCTTGACGCTGAGAAATTTTTTTTGATTGAATATCGCATTCTGATAGAATAGACTTCGAAGTTTAGTTGACTATTTCCCAAAATAACCCCCCAGCAAACACTCTCCGCCAGTAGCCTGCCTTTGGTATATTTTTACGAGACCAACTTCTGGCCGGACACATCAAAAGAATTCTAAAGGCGCCTTTGGCGCCAATATAACTAAATTAAAGGGGAGGAGCGCACGCCAAAAATACCGATATTTTTGGTCAAAATTTTCCAAAACGTGCCTTGAAACGCCTGTTTTGGCCTGTTTTTTGACGAACTAGGGTCCTTAAAATGTTTTCAGAGAGCTCGGAAAATCAAATTGGTCGACCTAAAAAAAAATGTCGACAAAAATTTTCGAAAAACCGCCTCCCCCGCTAGAAAAATTTTTGCGCATGCCACTGACTCTCTCCTTAAAAATCAGCGCTCTGTGAGTTTATACGTATTAATACGCAATGTCATCTAACTTGCAAAGGGGTATCTATCGGCATGTTGAAAGCGGGAATTCTTTTGGTCCAAGGTTCAAATTTCGGCAGCTTATCTTCCTTTTTGCCACCGCCCTCCTTCTCGGTGCCGCCCGTTGCAGCCGCCGTCCCCGCTGTTCCGCCAGACCCGCCTGCTGTTATTGTTCCGCCCGAGGTGTTCTGTTGACTCATAGCGTCCGCCATCTTGCGGTAGGAGTCGTTGTCGATGAAGTAGTCGAACACTGTGCCACTTGAGGGGAACTTGATGGACTTGAACTCCGTGTTCCACCATTTCGTGAACTCGATGCGGTAGTCAATCAGCTGAAAGAAGACAAATCGCTGTCAGACGAACGCAAATAATCAGCAAGGGCAGCCGGATGTGGTGCATGTGGCACAAAACGTTCTGGTCATCATTATGGAACCGGTTCAAACCAAGTATATATTATATACCTTGATATTTATCGCCGTAAAATATTCATAACTAAACAGTCATGATCCATTACTATAATTTACGATTAAATGTAAAGCTGAAAATATTCATAGTTTCAGCCAGAGAAATTATAATACAGATTGAAATCAGTTGCTTTCTTCTCTCCTCTAAGAAGGAAATAAAAGAGTAATATTAAGATTGGTATTAGACTAAGAAGTTGAACGAATCTATCCGGCCGAAAACAAGATAGCGTGACAAAGAGACTGCGTAACTTATCCGAAAACACTCTATGAGAAGGCCGCCCGGACCTAAACTCAATTACGAGGCCAAACTTTGCATTTTGTGAATTGTTAGTGGATTCCGCAACACGAACGCTCCCTTTGTTCTTATTTTTTTCTCTCATTTTTTTAAATTGTTCTGACCAAAATTTAACGTGTTTAGAGATTTGTCCCTGGAATCCAGAAACATACAGACAGAAAATCGTGAACCTATCCAGTGCAAAGTTTGACCTCGTAATGATGTTCATAAAAAAAAAATTATTTTCTTCAAACAAGTGTCGTTCTAGAGTAATTCAAGAACTATACGGTTGCGTATAGAATTAGTTATTTGAGCATAATTGACAATTTTTGTGTTCAAGAAATGAGTAACAAACAAAACAATAAAAACAAACGATTCCGAAAAAAAAAGTTTTTGAAACTATTTGAAATTTTTAGCAACAATTTATTGTTTTTTATAAATTCAAATTGTCAATAAAGCTACCAAAATTATTTTAACTGCAAATAAAATAAATTTATACTTCTTAACTGAGTTATCACAGTACTCTTAAAATCTTTCAGCAAACCTTTTCTTTTACCAAATAAGCTTTAAGGGAAACATCTAAAACTAATTTTGTTTTTAGTAAAACCAAATTTTCTATCCTAAAAATAATAAACTTTTTTGCAAAAAAAAGCCTTACTCAATCGCGTTACTCGCTCAAAATTAGATTAACTTCACAAACATTTCAAATCAGTTTTTCTCGACACTGAACAAATTTCGAAATATGACTGAAAAAAAACTTTAAAATGATATATCACTGGACCCATTCCAAAGATTATTTGTGGTACTTGATTCTGCGTGGAAAACAAAAAACATTGAAAAATTTACCCAAGGATAAACGATTATTTTTCAAGTAGCAGAGAATAATTCGACCATGGACATTTAAAAATTTAGATTTTTTTTTTCAAATTAGGGTCGGTTTTTTTTTCGTAGTGTGATAAAAAGGATCTGAACAAAAAATAGACCTTACGCATATTTGAGAGCCATAGTAAAAAGGCATTTTGGAAAAGGGTCTTTGAGGAAACATGGACTAGAAAAACAAAAAAAATTAATCATTTTTTCAAGTTTTTCTTGCAATTTTTTTGATTCCAAAAACGGCGCTTAAGAAAACCAAAAACAAATTTTACTCGAGTAAATAGGCCCTTTTATTACGACCTAAATGAGGCATAACTAACCTACAGTAAACCTGCTTGCTCATCAGACGTGGTCGAAATTAGGCCAGAACGTCGAATCACGACTGAAAGACCTTTAATATGATAAATCACTCGACGCATCACGATGATTATTTGTGATGCCAGATTTTGCGTTGAAAACAAAAAAGTAAAACACACCTGAATACAAAGTTCCTCTCCATGTTCAATTGTCGGAAGAAAAACTTAGGTACTTTGAATCGCGCTGAGAACACTAACTAAACCATCTTTCCTTCCCACTCCGAAAGAGATCAAATCAAAAGCACTTCAGCATATCTAAATTTTCAACCTGGTCCTGAAACATCTGGGCTCCAAATGCCCAAACACATGCGAATGCAAAGTAGAGCTCATAGAGTTCCTTGGGACAATCTGGTGGAGTGGTTTTTGGTGTAAGCAGACATTCTAGCAGGTTGCACAACATCTGAATGTGTGATGTGTCTGTAATCGGAGTAACCTTCTTGAATCTTGTCCGGAGAACGTCCAAGCAAGGCGGCACATACTGAAAAATTAACATCACAAAATATTTATAATAACTACAAAAGACGCATTGATTAAGATGTATACAAACATGATACAATTCAGGTCTATTAACTAAACTTTCTGAATTCCTTTTCTAAAAATTTGTGTTTCACCAAAAAAGACGAAGTACTACATGTTTTGACTCGTTTGCTTGTTTATAGTTTTTTTATTGTGTAAATCCTTGCTTTTTCTTGTTTCTTTGAAAAATCATACATAACATATTGGAGCTGATAATCAGAACAAATTGTGTTTTGGGGTTTGATCTTGTGCACTTCAAGGTATCTGATAAAAGAATAAAATTTTCTTTCAAACTGAAGAAAAAAAACATCTGAAGTGTCTTTTTTTTACCGATATTCACCTCAAAAGCGACTGTGTCTAGCAACACATTAAAGCTCAATGTAAACGCTAAAATGTTATAAAGTAAATAAAATCAAAAAGCCGACAAAAAACGTTAATTTTGCTTAAATATAAAAAACTTTTTTCGATGTCAGATCTGTTTTTAAAATGTTTAATTGTTTTACTATTAAAATTGATCCTAATTTAAAAGTATGTCGTGAAACGGTCTGTTTGAAGCAGAATTCTATTTTTCAACTCGTTCCATGATGTGCCAAAAAAATTGTTCCGGAATGAAAAAAATTTCTAAAAAAATTTTTAAAAAATCAAATTTTTTTTTTTTCACTTTTCTTCACACATTTTTTACCAAAAGTATGTTCTCAGCTTATTTTTCAATATTTGAAACTGCAAATAAACCCCAAAATTAAATAAAAAATTTCGGTGTTGGATATGATATCGCATGCTCAATTAAAGTTGTTTTTGTATGGAAACATCGTTTCCCTAAATAGCACCATAAATGGTACGACGTATGGTTTGCATGGTAGAAAAAAATCAAAATCTGATAAACGCGTATTTTGCACTACGGATGATTTTTGTCAGTCATTTTTGTCAAGTAACCTCTATTTTTACGGTTTTCTAGAGAAAAAAAAATATGGTGAAAAATCTCTTCCATACTTAGCACCATATATGTTGCGACGTATGATTTGCATGGTGAAAATTTTTGATATTTTATCAACAGCTTGCATAACGAAGAGAAACCGTTTAATTACTATTTTACTCCGTTAAAAAACTAATTTGAGAGTGCTACGTATGATTAGTCATATTCCATGCAAATCATGCATGGATGTGCATGGTTGCGCATTATCTTCTATGGTGGGCAACCCGGGTAAACTTAAAAATAAACCAAGGAACTTAAAACAGCAAAAGCAGTGTTAGTATTTGTAGATTGTTTTTAACGTGAGCAAATCACAATTGCAGTGCAAATAAAACTTTGTTCTCTACTCAGAGCTTTGGATATTGCTTAAATTAGTGGGGATAAAGTGATGTGCACCTTATCAAACAGGATGGTAAGATTGGCCCTTTCGCTCTGTATCTCACGGGAGTCGATCCAACTCTGCACCATAGGGGACCATCCGATGTCACTGGCGTTGAGGTAGAGGATGCCAGCCCTGGATACAGTAGCAGGGGTCGCTGTCTTCAGGTGCGATATCTCGAAGATCAACCTCATTGAAGGGCTCAGGGGAATTCGTTCGTTGGATGCAAGAGTCAACACCTGCGGCGACAAAAAAACGAACATACTTACGCAGAACTGAGACAAATTTACATCTCCACGGCTTATTCCTCAACATATTGAAAAAGCAATGACACAATTGTTAAACACTCAATTCAATGAATCACTTATTAACTTTGAACAACTACCAACTTCGAATCACTTATCAACTCATGTCGCAGCTACTTAAACTCTCATTAATGCAGGATCTGCAGTATCAACGACTGACTTTGTTGTCATCCATGACTGTGTTGAGCGACTCAATCCACATTGGATCAATGTCGCCGTCCAGTACAATCCATTTGGGCGCCTCCCCACTCATGTTTGCCATGTCCCGCATCAGCACTGAGAAGAGACCGTCTCGCCACTCTCTGGTCGCCTGGACTACAAACCCAAACAACTCGTCATTCGAAACAGCCTTGGGGTTCAGATCACACCAAGTGGGCTTCTTCTTGTCCTGCTTGTACGTGTTGAACAGCGTCTTCAGCACCTGCCGTAGAAATTACAACATCATTTTTTTTTAATTTCTGCATGAAAAATAGCTAAGCTGAAAAAAAACATTTCAGCTTAGCTATTCAACCGCAGCAGTTCAGCTGCGAACATTCACATCACACGCAAATGTCACGTTTTATTAGGTAGAGATTACAAACCTGTGACTTTCCTGTTCCCGCATTTCCGAGAATAAACACTGAATGTCTGACATCAATCAGCTCCTGAAGTTGAACGACCTTCATGATAAAGGCTTCCTCGGGCTGGAGGGATAGATCAGCCGCTGTCTTCTTGACAATCGCCTCAAAAGCCTCATTCCTTTTCCGAGGCACATTCATGGAGGGAAACAGATCCGTGATGAGCCCGTGGAAAATGTAAAGGTCATCGGAAATGATCTTTGGAATGTTGAAGTCCCTAAGAGCTCTCATAAGGACCTGGTCTTCTGGTAGGTTGGGATCAGTTCTTCGGAGGGATCCAGCCACCACCAGCACAGATTTGATTGCTCTCAATCCCCAGTCGTAGTGGTCTTGCTTGGACAGCAATTCTTTGCAGAGCTCATACAAAGTGATGAATTTTCTTAAAAAAAACATCTAAATAGATACATAATTCTCACTAAAAAGTCTCGGGAGACTTTGCATTGAATCAAACATTATTAAGTTTTTAAATTACTAAAACTTTTAAATTAATATTATGAGGCTTCAATAATCAGACTCCGCTTGAAAACAAATAGCCAATCAACCTACTGGGCCAGAACTTTAGCTTCCGTAAAGGCTTCAGCTACCAGCATAATTTCAGCGATCAAAGCAAAATCAGGGACGACCATTGCACAAGGCCTGAAAAGTGCCTTCAGATTCTCCGGCAGTTCAGTCCTGCCTGCGTAGCCTGGGTTCATGGTAATGAACATTCCCACCGACCGCTTCAGTCTGATTTCCTCCGACATGAAATCGAACCTAGATCTCTTGTCTTTGACCGCATCCAAAACAGACTTCACTTGGACAGCCACAACTGACAGTACCTACAAAAACAAACCAATCTAATCTCACAACTTTAAACATTATTCCATGCCTCCTTTCCCAATCAAACCTTGAGCTCAATCTTTTGTTTCTTTTCCTCTTTTTAGTTCCTTTTTCGATTAAAATTGTTGTTGAACATGCCTAATTTACTTTTAATCTCGATTATGTTCATTTCGTTCAGTTTCTCTCATCACGGCACGGACAAAAAACAACGCAATTTGAAAAAGACACAGAGTTTTTTAGTTCTAAATCATTTGGTTTAAGCTTTTTGTGCTATTTGCGCAGGAAACCGCTAAGCTTGTTCTCTTTCGAGAATTTTTATTCGTGGCTGCTGCTATATGACTACACAATATATATCATTTTTAGTCGCACGCGCACTAAAATAACAGATGAAGTAGACATATATTCAAACCTTCGCCATGTGCTACTCTACGTGGTTTTGGAAAATGAAAAGCTAGCCTCGACTGAGATGCGGTTGAACTCGTCGAAACAGCCCCATGCGCCAGTCTGAGCCAGTCCCTTGTAAATGTTACCACATGACTTGTAGTCCATCTGCTCTGAGCAGTTGAACACGTACACCATGATTCCCAATGCTCGTCCTAAGTCTTTGGTTGTTTCCGTCTTACCCGTTCCAGCGGGTCCCGCTGGACCTCCCCCCATGTGCAGGTGAAGTGATTGTGTGAGGGTGATGTAACACCTGTCAGTCAGGGGAGTTATAACTAATCGGGGAGTGTTTCCCAGGTACTCGTACCAGTAGCGAAACTCAGCATCGCATATGTTTGCAAAGCAGTGTTTCTCTTCGTCATCGAATCGGTGGCGCAATTGAGATAGCCACGTGAACGCCTGGGCACTGTCGATCTAAACATTTACAAGAGAAGCAAGATGAAACTCATTGTCAAACTGTACTTTAAACTATTACTACTACAAATTTAGGTGGGATCAAATCGACTGGTGCATTCACGCCAAATACCTTGTTCACTATGAGCTTTTGCACAACATCTCTGGCGTGCACATCAATCGTGCAGATAGTCATGATCTTCTGTCGGTCTCCTTTAGTTAGATTCGAAATGAGTGCTTCAATCAGAGCGCGAAGTTGCCCAATTTGCTTCTTGTTGTAATCCTTCAGAGCATTCTCATATCCCTCTTCCAAGCGCCCGAACGCAATCCCCACCTAAAAATTTTACGTTCAAATACTTCCTAGCTCTGCTGATATAAAAAATCACAGACGGATTGATTTCTATATGGCTATGAAGAATTTTTGTCTAGTATTATTCACTACTTATACATTTCAACTTCATTGTCTCAGGCTGCTGTTTCGGCACAGATGACTTGGCATCCTCTTTTTTCCAGACGTTTTTGTGCTGCTTATTCGGCTTATACACTTGTGTGGTCTTTATGCAAAGAGCTCACCTCGGTGGTCCACCATATCTGGGTAGTGGTGAGCGCAGGCTGAGCTGGCCAGTCAAAGATCCACACCTCGCGACTCTTCTCCTCGTAGGCTATCACTGCCTCTGTGATCTTGGCCCTCACAGACTGCTGCATGCGCAACTCCACACTGTTCAGCCACTGTTCCACCTGTCCATCACACTCACACGCTTCGTCCAGATCCACTGACTCTCCATCTTTGGACCCCATCCGAACTGCTACTTTGCACTCCTTCCCTCCACTAACACCCTCTTTCTCGTTCCCATCGCCACTAACTGCATCCTTAGAACACTCCTCATTCCCATTGCCATCCCCATCCTCCTGCTTGAAGTCTAGTCTAGCCAGGCTGTCGAACAGTTTACTCAGATGGCGACACACCTAAGCAACTTATGGCATCATGTGAGGCCAATCAACTTTCACATTTTCTTTCTTTAAAACTAAACTAAATCAAATTTGTAATTTAGCAACATATACTAAGTCGTTTAATTCGCTTAGCTGCGTTTGAATTCACACCTGCTCGCAAAAACAATTTCACAAAGATTGAATTTAGGTATCTTTATTCTGTTGTCTTTTTCTTAAGATTCATTATTTCAGTCTTTCTAGCAAGCGGTTACTCTTTGTTTATAAAGAAAATTAAAATTACAGAAACTGCAACTGTTTGCTTATCCAACACCTTTGGAAATTTCCGCCAAAATGGATTTTACATGATTCTTCATTTACCTCAGTAAAAATTTCATCTGAATTGTTTAAAGCTAATTTTGTGCCTCAAGCTCCTTTTAACGTTTGTACGCGCTGAAAAACTACAATACTCTAAACATGTCTGTTTGGCCCAAGCAACTGAATAATTTTGCTGTAAATAAACCTAAGCATTTTTATCCAAAAATCATGAAAATGAAAATCTATCTACTTCAGGTCCATTTTTCTCCGCTTTTCCTTTTATCAGAATCAACAGCTGCTGCTCTTTTTAGACGAGCAATTTTATGACAAACGTGATCGCAGGACCTTTTATATTCATTCATTCGCCTGGATCTTTGAAATTTGTAATCGCAAAGAAAAGTGAATCAGCGCAGGTGGTAGGCAGTTTTGTAAAAACACAGAAAGCAAATACGGTGATAAACGACGCATCTGAAAATAGATGGAAACGATTACTCGCTTCAAGGCATGCCCTGAATGTTCTCATTGTTCCTTAAGGTATCTGAATTAGTTTCTGGTTAAAAAAATTGATTTGGTTTTTTTTTTTTTAAAATTATAAAAAATCTTCCCAGTACGCATTTTAATCAAAAAAACATTGGAAAAAATGAACATTGCTTCCCCTCATAAAATAAAAACTTTAATGAAATAATAATTTTGGGAGAAAAAAATCTGTGAGACATTGTGACACTGACGGTGGCGGGGCTGTTGCCATTTGAGAGTATGTCCAGCAGGTCTGCACTGGACACAAAGTAGAATCTGGGAAAGGCGAGCCTCTTCGTCTCCAGATATTCTGCCAGAGCCTTCTCACACAGAGACAGTTGAGCTTGAAGGGCCTCCAGTCTCTCGTACCAGCCACCCTTGTTAGTCGCTTCGATCACATTCGGCGTCTCCTTCGCCTCCTCCATCAGCATCTTGAAGTCACTGTCGATGCTGTCAAACCTGATCCACAGAGAAACAAACACAACATGAATACGGCGATGATAACTAAACACGGAGAGCCGGCTGATGTGAAGTAGTACAGAACTTTCTCACTACAGATATTATTTCAAAATTATAGGAAAAAAAACGGGAACAACTATGCATTTTTGCCAGCGAATTGATGAACGGTCGGATGAAATATATAATTAATAAGTAACAATGAGCCTTTTATAAGTTGTGAAATTCGACAAAAAAATAACCACTGGACAAAGACTTTTCAAAAAGAAATCAGTGCGTTGGCGAAGAGACTAAGTCTTCGCTTGGCAACCGAAAGGATCCTGCTCGTTGCTCCTGCTCCTTCTATGCTCCTTGCTCGTTCTGGATGCTCCTTGCTTCGAGGCCCACCTTGATCCATGAGGGAGAGGCAATATTACCCATCCATAAAAAAGTTAAACTAATTATTAATGCTGACCAGGGACGCAGCAGCAGTTTTCCGTCAAGATTAAGCAGCTCTCTTATTTTGGTATTGAGCGTAGTATATGAACCGTCTCAAGTAAGAGAGACTTACCAACTCTTCGCTAAATTTGTGTCTGATGAGCAGAATATTATTCATACCACTAGCTGATCGATCCTTTGGTACTTTCGTACAACCTTAAGACCAACCCTAAACATTTTTTAAGACACCTTCGGCGCCAATATACACTAAAACTGAAACAGGAACGAGCGCCATTATTTTGGTCAAGAATTTCCAAAAGTGCCTAAAAATAATTTTAAACTGTTTTTTTTCTTCAATTTTTGTCTGCGTCGCTGAAAGTTAGGCGAATTATGGTCTTTATAATACATAAATGTTGCTAGAAAAAATATGAACTATGCTAAACCTGGATGCGTCATGTGGCAGCTGTCGTCTTATGTCCTCAGAGCCTATGAAGATACTCTCCAGGTGGGACCAGTTCCGCTGCACTTCCAGCCAGATCTGAATGACAGCATCTGCAGTAGATAGCTTCTTCTGCCACGTCGATACCTGTTAACAGCAGATGCATATGATCAACCAAATGTAGATACAACAGCGGATTTAGAGGGGGGGGGGCGGACGCCTTTTCCCTCCTCAGATATTCGACCACCTGCCGACCCAAAAGGTCCCCCTTTGAAATATTTTGAGATATCTATTTTTAGCTAACTGACCCTCATATTTTTCTAAAGGCGCCTTTTCTAAAGGGGGGAGCGCACGCTGAAAAAAAAACGCAATTTTTTTTGGCCAAAATTTTCCAAAAAGCTCCTAAAAACGCCTTTTTTGGTCTGTTTTTTTTTCAAACATTTGCCTGTGGCGCAGAAAAATTGTTCAAAATAGGGTCTTTATAGTGATTTGGGAGAGCTCAGAAAATCAAATTGGTCGACCTAAAAAAAAAGGTCGTCAAAATTTAAGCCTTTTTTTTTAAAATCCGCCCCCTCAGGAAAGTCTTAGGTCCGCCCCTGTGTAGATACACGCTCGAAATACTTGTCAAGCATTTTACATTTTTCTATTGTTGACGTTGTTAAAACAGGTTTGTGAGAAGATTTATAGGAAACTGCAGAAATCGGGGTCGTTCAGCTTGCATTACCTCCTCAAGAAAGTGTGCTATGAAGCGGGAGGACATCATGTTCTGCAACTGCACCTGGTTGTCCTCCAGCAGTTCAATCAACTCCTCATCCGCCCTCAGCTGCGGCACCCCTGTACGGGCATGCGTCTCATAGCGCACCTCCATTGCTGCCCAAGTCACCTCCAGGTCTCGTAAAACCTTCTCCATGCCACCTGAAAAATCAAGACACAATCAACCACTACTATTCTAGTGCACTATTAAATCGCAAAAACGATCTCACATAATCCTATAGCGCCAACACCACTACTACCACAACCACCACCATCGTCATTATCGTTTTCATCATCATCGTTGGATGTTCATCGTCGCATCCACACTGCCATCTGGAGTTTGAGTGTTTTTAACCGGCTGAGTCTACCCATAAAATTGACCATTTATTTGTTCTGACATTGTTTTTGCATGCCCCACACGGGTGAACGAAAGTGTTTTATTGGTTTTTGTCGTAACAGTAGGCTTGTTTTTCTTTTTTGTTGCTTTCCCATATACCTTCCTATACCTAGCCAAAATACTTTTGCTGACGTTTTCTCCATTTCTCGTGTTCACCTGGTTTGCTTTCTTTGAAACTTTTCACGTGTTTTGCTAATTACTCGATTTGTTTAGTCCCTCCACGTGCTTTACTCTGTCCTTTTGGTTCTGACCAATAAGAATGGGGAGGAACTTGGAATTCGGACGTGTTTTTTTTTCGTTTGCTAGTTTTTTGTTTTTCTCGCATTAAGTTTGATTTTTGTCCACTTTCAAATGAATAACAATTATTTTGTCTTATTGTAGTAGTTTATAGTTTTTAAACTTAAAATAAACTGGAAACATCAATTATTATTTAGTTTTAATCCAGTGTAATGTTTTATCGAATATTAAAACAACGACTACTTGGGAATAAAACTTCAGGTACAAAAAAAGTTCTGCAAAACTTTCGAAAATTTTGTCAAAAATAGTTTCATTTTTTTTATTCTCCTAACCAATAGTGTAAAAAACATACTTGATAGTTCACTAAATTTTTGTTGGTTTTCATTTTGAGTTTATCTGATTTCAATTGATGGGATGGTTGTTTAATTTTTCCATGTGAACAGCTTGTTGCGAATCTTTGCAATTGGCACATTAGAGTTTGTCTTTTATTGTTATTGCAAAAGAATTAAAAGAAAAAGGGTTGGGGTGGTGACTAAAAACATAGTCTAGACGCTTGCTGCCAAACTTTAAAAGTGACTCTGGTGAGGTCTCAGAATTATTTGGCTACGATGATTACTGTCTGCCATGCTGATTTTGTTGTGGGTTTTGCCTTGTTGATGAGGGTTGTGGGTTGGCGCAGGTTCCTCTGCTATTTTTGCTTATGATTGCTATCGGGCATTGTGTTACTGCTGCTATTAACTGTTGGTGACATTTGAGTTCAAGCTCAAGGCATAAAAAGAATAGATTCATCCAAATTTGTTCGTTTCAGTGTCTAGGTCTGGTTGTTTTCTGTCGTTTCTATCGCGTTTTGTCACTGCCTGAGTTTTTTTCGGGTCTAGTTGTATTAATTGTAGTTTTAACGTGCAATTGGGTGTTTTGCGTATTTTTCTTTTATTTTGTCTTGACGCTTTGCCCTGTGAAACTGATGGCTTTTGTTCTGTTTTAGTTTATTGCATGCTTCGTGACTGTTTGTTATGATCAGAGTTTTCTGTAGTCCTTCGTTTCCAGTGGCGTTTCTAAAAGCGTTGTTGTGTTTGATTCCTTAATCCAAATTTCATTTCAATCCAATATTAGTAAAAAGGGTTTTCCTAAGTAGGTTTGTTTTTGTCACCGTGTTGAAAAATGTTGTTGTTAGCTTTTTGCCCGAGTTATCTTCTGTGGGTTTGTCTTTGTTCTTTTTTTCTTTTGTTGGGTGAAAAAGATTTATTTTGACTGTGATTTGATGCGGGCGTTTAAGTTCGTTGTTGTTGTTAGCCGTTGGCGTTGAAAACTGTCATTGATGTGATTTGCTTTCGTTAGCTTAAATTCTGCTCGTTTTCTTCTGTTTGCAAGGGTCATTGGTTTTCATGGTTGATTGAAGCGTTTGTTAAAGAATAATAACTCATTCAATCTTTTGGGTTACAGCTGATCGGTTCAAGAGTTGACCGGGGTTTTTGATTCTTCTGGTGGGATGCTTTAGTGTGTCAACCTTTTTGAAAAGTTCATAATGCATCGGTTTTTGATTCAAATCTGGACGCGTTTCCCTCTGCAGAGTTCGAAACGATGTTGTTTTTGCAGCTCTGTTGAATTCACAGGTGCTAAAGGATTTTAAGACTGTTTATGTTTGTCTGAGGTTTTTCCGTTGTTGCACGATCTTCTCTGTCGATTATCATCGCAAGCTTGACTAATCTCTTTGAGTTGTAGCCGCGGAGATGTCTATTTCGATTTCCTCGTTACAATTTTGAACCATTGAACCGTTGGGAACCATTTGCTTTTTTGTATTAGTTTTGTTGATGGTTCCTTGCAATATGTCGGTATTGCATTCTGCGGCTATTGAAAAAATGTTTGCTATGGTTGTGCTGGTGTTGTCCCTAGAAACCATTAATGATCGAAAAGCCCGTTGCATTTCGAGTGTGTTCTGTCTCTCTTGCTGAAAGTTGAAAGTCAATTGCCTGGTTTATCCTGTTACTGTTGCTGCTAATTTCTGCTATCATTTGTCTGTCATGGGTTGGCTCGAGTGAAATTTTGGCTTAAAAGTCAATAAAAAGAGTAATAAAAAAAAACTAGAAAAAACATTGCGTGCAACTAATTCATTTCAAAACAACCAAAATCCAGAAAGGGTTAAAAAAATACAGAAACGGAAAAAGTGACCAATCTACCCAGGTTGACAAATATTTTCTATAGATGCTGTTGACCTCGTTGGATTTTGTTGCGCAGAGGTTGATGTCATTTTCAAAAAAAAATTTATCGAAGACCAAAAAACTTTGAAAAACTCCAAATTGAGTGAATTGTGAGATCCACTGTTTTGATTTCCAGGTTATGCGAGACATATAATCATCCAACAAAAATTGGCTGCTGTGTTTTATTTGCTGAATATCCAAAACGCAGGCTGTTTTCTGTGACAGGTAACTAATCATAGTTTCAGTGACGAAAAGAGCAGTTATGTCGAGGAATCTGTGGTGATGCTGAAGATTCACCGGTAATTCATGGCAGAGTTAGTGGCTACTAACAAGCCTTGGCTTTTAACTGCCTAGGTAGCTTGACTGGTTTTTTTGGCTGGTATTGATCTTCAGGCGCTATTGTCGGTGAATGTCGAGTTGAACGATAAAGCTGACCGCATGTGTTTTTTTTTGTGCGCAAAATTTCACTCAAAAATTTTCTCCGAAGCAATGGTATCAGAAATTTTTTTGTCCGTAACAGTTTTTTTCAATGGCAAAACTTAGTACTGGCTGCAGTTTGCACGGCGCCCATTCTGTGCGCCGAATAAAATTGGGGCCGCGTGTTGGCGTTCGAGTTTCTTGATGTCTGCAGTGAACGCTGGTTGGTTGAATCTCGTAATATATGGGCGTTTCAATTCTTGTAAACCCTTGGAGTCGATCCGTCGAGTCTTGGTTCATTTGTTGAGGTTGCGAAGGTGGTAAATGATTACAGGCCAGACTAACAGACTAATCCATTCGTTCAAGGCGATGAGTTAAGGCTGCTCATTGTTCTGGGTGGAGAAGTGTTATGTCTATTGAAGCGGCTGGTGATGCAATTTGCTGACTGCAAATTGTACGCATTCATTCAATTTCGGTTTGGCTTTAAGGCCAAGCTCTTGAAAAGCTTCAGCTTGTTAGTGACGAAGTTCGAGAATTACTTGTGACGAGGTGATGAATGCTTGCAAGACTGGGGTCGGCTAAGGATGTCGTTGAGTAGGATATCTGGTCCTCAATATCGTCGTCGTCGTTCCTTAAAAATGGCATTGTACCTTGACTGCTGCAACCGAACTCATAAAAAGCTTGATTGGCTTTTCTTTGTGTTAGTGTTTGGGGGTGCGTCTTTTTTCTGCGCCTGAGATTCACTGATTGCGAGTTGCTGCTTGTAGCAAACCAAGCAACATATTCATTTCATTGGGTTTTCATCAAATGTTTCAATCTTTATCTTTAGCGACCGTAAAATCTGGCTATGGACTTTGTGACGTTATACTATCTTTCGTTGATCTGAATTTGACTCTGGGTCCTGTGTTCAGCTGATATTGATCTGCAGATGCAATTTTTGGTAATTACCGAATTGAATGACGAAGCTGGCTGCGTTTGCAGCATGGGTGTTTTGATGGGTAATCTTTCACTTAATTTTCTTGTCCGAAGCAAATGTAACAAAGTTTTTTGTCCATGACAGGTTTTTTTTCCTTCCAAAGTCGAAGGTTTAGTCCAAAGTAGCATGGGAGCCGGATTCCGTTTTTCAATTTCTTGATGTCTGCAGTGAAGGCTGGCTGATTGAACCTCGTAATATTTTTGCGTATCCAATTCTTGGAAACTATTGTTATCGATCCGTCGAGTCCTGGTTCATCTGTTGAGAACAGTTGAGATTGCATAGATGGTAAATGATTTCATCCTAAGGCAAACTGACTAATCCACTCCTTCAAGGCGAACAAAATCTGCACCTCGAAGTACTGGGTGGGGAATGCAGCTTCTGATGATGCGATTTTCTGACGGCAAAATGTACGCACAAAACTGAACTCAAGTCGTCCTTAAACCGAAGCGCTCGGAAATTTTCAGCAAGCTGACGAGTTGATGACCGCTTGAAATTTTGGAGTCTGCTAACAATGTTGCATGACCTGTTGCTGGAGTAGCTTGATGTTTACTGGCGTTGTTATTACAGTGGGTTGTCTTTTCCTCTGTCGAGAGATCTGATGAGAGCTGTGTGAGCGGCCAAACTAGCTGTGTGAGCGGCCAAAAGTGTATTGCCATCATTTGTTTTCTTGTTTGGAGCTGTCTCTCTTGTAAGTTCTTTTAGCATCTGTTTCAAGTCAACCATGATTCATGATAATGTCGTACTTAGGTTGTTATTGCGTTGAACGATTGATGAATTCTACAATGGCGTGTTCAGTTGAAAGGTTCACAAGGTACATGCTGGGGCCCTCTAATTTGCTGAGAAAATTTTTCTTCTCTGGATCTGAGTCAGCTATGTTGTAGTTTAAACTAATGTCAGCTTTCGCTTTTTGAACTCTGCTGAAGAGGCGCTTTAATTG